CAGGTGGTCTCCTCTTTCTGCTACTGAACAGTGTCCACACATTAGCTTGTCTGCCTTTGTGAGGACTTGGTATGTGACTGTGTACGTTAGGGAACAGGCAAAAGGCACGTGAATTCTGTAGCAGATGATGCTGGAGAAGGCGCTGTCCCTGCTTACATTATCTGCACAGCTCTGGGATTTCCACTGAGGGTCAGCCAGAGCCAGCTAACTAAGCCTCTTAGACATGCAGTGCAAACCAAGGAGGCCTGTTTGGTGATTGGTCACCAGAGGACAATCTCACACGTAAGCCTGCAGCTTTCTGAGGTCCGGGGAAAGAATGCCTTCATTTTCTCTTTGGGGTCTAGTTTTCTCAATGAGGGGGGGATAAAGAGAAAATATGGTACATGTCAGCAGGGGATGAAGATCCAAGGGGGCAAAGGACACAGTAGCTGAAAGCCATCATTCCCTGCCTTATGGACAGGGCATGGATCCTGGAGGGCAAGACATAACCAAGCCGGCAACCAGGCCCTCCCTAGCGCGTCAGTTTGGAAGAGTTGCTGAAAGGACAAGTGCCTGTCTGGTTTTCAGTGTATATGAAAACAAATTTATTTACACAGTAACATGATGCCACAGAGTGGACAGCAAAGTACCACAGCAAACCAAAGGGTGGCGCCACCTGGTGACAGAGGGGACCTTTAATTGATCAATTTATACAACTCTAAAACATGTAAGTAGAGAGTTGAAGCTCCAGAAAAGAGCAAGAGAAACAAAAATTTCAAATATAAAGCATTGGCAGAGTCATGGGGAATTAGATTAGGAACAGGACCGCCATGATTAAAATCACCGAGAAAGGGACGACATCTTGCTTCTTTCTGCCTTGAGCTCATGCCAAAATGCCTGGCATGTCATCCACAGAAAATCCCAACCCAGTGTGTTCACACGCACCACTCTCTAAGACTGGTAAGGGAAGGGATAACCAAGTAGTATTTGGAGCAAGTTTCCTGAAGCAGTGTGGTTTTACCTTTCAAAAATGCTACCCTGAAGCCATAGGGCTGGTTCAACATTCAAGTTATCATGAGTGCACACACACACACACACATACTTGCCACACACTATATGGGCAAAGTGGATTTTCATAATACAATAATATTCATAGCAAAATATATGACTCTATGCTTCTGCTAGGTTAAAAAATTTCCGGCCTCTTTTGATTCCCTGAAACTTTCTTGAAAAGCAGATGGGGTGGAGGGTGGGGGGTAGATAAAGGTGAGAAGCTGGAATAAGCACGGAGGCTCTCAGGAGTGGTGAAACATGTAATGGGGATATTTGGAATGGCAGGCCCCTGTAGCCCACCAAAATGGGAAAAGCGTCTAGCAGAGGCTGATGCAAAAACTTACTCTAATTTTAAACAGCTGCAGAGAGGGGGTGTTTAACAGCTGTATAGCACCTTGTACCTTCTGGGCACTTATAAATATTAAATGGTGACGAGTGGTGAACACCTCTGTAGGAAGGTTTATAAAAACTTACATTTGTTAAGAAATTCCCCAAGAGTTCTTTAAACAAACCTATTGAAACTACCATATCTCTTTTAACAGAAAAAATCCTTCACCTATCAGTGTCATAATGGTATGACGGTCCTAAGCTGAGGTTTGGGCAATAGCCACAGTCATGTCGAGGGTAGACAGGATAGTTCCTTCTCCATAAATACTGGGGAACTTTACAATCTGCCCAGGGCTTTCCTCATCATTGTCTTTTTTTCTAACACACAAAATGAACTTGCTTAAAAAAAAAGAGGTGCTTTTTTTTTGAGGATGGATTGAGGATAGAGGATAGATTTATTTTCTCAGCTGAATACCCTAACATGGAATGTGTGTGACTTCCCCTCCCATGGCATCTGTCATAATTCAGCCTCATCATCTTAGGAGCATCTGGATAAAAGGCTTGGTTTCTTTGGTATCACCTCTACCTAGGGTCTTGCGTTGCAGCTCTTCGGCTTCCCTTACGACGTCATTTTTGGTCCGTGGAATCCCAGATTTCAGCGCTGCCCTAAGCAGGGGCAGCTGGACTTCACTGCACACTTCAGCAAGAGCAGCACTTGGATTCGTCTCGGCAAGTACTTTGGGCCTTTGAGAATATCAGCTTCAATGAGGTAAAACTAATAACCCGGTTTTGTGTGCAGCCATCCTGTTCAACTCGTTAGGATGGACAGAATTTCCAATCCTTATCAACTAGTGAGGGGAATGAAAAACATATCAGAATTGTTCCAGGAGTCAAATTCCTCTTGTCCCCTCTCCAAGTATGTTCATACTTTATTCACACAGCTGGAATCATCTGAAATATAGTATAGTACCCTACATCCTTCCCAACATCTAAGATTAGCCTGTATTTTTTTCAGATCATTGCTGATAAAATCTAAGGAAAAAAAATTCCCAATTTTAGGTTATCAACAAAACCAAATGTCCGGTTACTTCCCAGCACCAAAGTAATCATAACTCAAAGGTGAGAAACTAAGTGCAATATTTCTACGCCCTACTATTTAGTGAGCCCAAAGATCTTTCATGGAAATTCTGCAATGCTAGAAACTATAATACAATTTTAGCTAGTTTTACTCCCAGATATGTTAGTATTAATGATTAATATTTCCAGATGTTTTGACCTCGTGGCTGAGAGTTTTCCACATTCACAAACTTTGAGTTTGGAAGCAAAGCTGGTCCCACTTAATCTGACAACAGCTGCTAAGAATCACAATCCTAGCAAATATGCTTTACTTTCATCCTCAACATTAGTGGATGCTTGGGCCCCCAACCCCCACACTTCACCCAGTTCCTCCATCTTCTGAGGGCAAACCTTGAAACCTACTGTCATACTCTTGGCTTCCAGTTCTAACTCAGCCTAGCGATTGGTGCACTTCATTCAAAATTCTTTTGTCCTTGGTTCCACAGGTTTCAATACCCCTTTTTCCCATTCTGCCACTATTCTTCCAGAATTAGCTTCCGGACATCACATTAATGTAGGTACAAAGGGGCTCTCCTCAGGCTAGCATGGGAGGCTTCTTTTAGCCCCAGTCCTGTTTGTTTTCACTGTAACAAGGCACTCGGCTATACATTCAGTCTTGGTCTTGGCTTCTCTAGTCGTTGTCCTGTTTCTCCAGCACCCAATGTGTCGGAGAGATTGTTCTTGCTCTGTGTGGTGTAAAAAGTTCCCATAGTGGCTTAATTGTTCAAATTCTCAATATAAATGGAAAAATCCATAGAATAGACTTTAATAGAAAAGAAAAAAAAAAGTCCAATCAATATTGAAGACATCAACTTGATGTTACTTGAGGAAACTTAAAGTGCTATACTAATCACAATCCAAAACTCATATATGTATGTGTGTGTCTGAGGGTAGGATTTCTTTCCAGGTGGTGAATGAGTTGAAAGTTCCCACTATAATTAAAACAGAAATGTAAAATATTTGTGACAATGTTAGATTAACTGAATTTCATTATTTTGGGAAAATATTCTGAGGATCATCTTATATAGTACTTCTTGCCTATAGGTATAGTTCTTTTCTGTATTCTGCTCTAACCTTTACACCCTCTCCTCTCCCCACCTCACAAGCCTCGGCCATCACCCAGAGAAAATGATACAGCCACCTGTCTCTGGGAAGCCTTCTGTGACTAGTTGACATTCATCTCTTTCCCTTAACAAATCTAAATATAAAAACAATTTAATAAGCACATCTGATGAGAGGTGCTCAGTTTACCAGTGCTATAAAATGATGGTAGTAGAGGGTATCCATGCTTACTATAATACAGAGTTAAAACAAAGACTAGGAAAAAAAAGATATACCTACCTCGAGAACAAATAGGGAACATTCTGCATTAAATATGTAACCTCATTAAACAGTCAACATTCAAATTTACATGGGCAAGGCACCATGAGAGGGACATCCATAAGCTAGGTCTCAATATGCAAACCATCAGGGGGCTGGGGGAATGTGCTGGCTGACATGGTCAGTGGTCTGTGTGCTGCCAGTTCAGTGTATAATTAAGCAAGGAGTTATGCGCACACAGGCTATGCGAAGGTGAACTGAACACCAGCCTGCCAGGCAAGGCACAGCCATGCCACAGGACACTGAGAGCACGGACAGGCTGCCCGCAGCAGCACGCCCACTCATGGCCTTTCCTGGGGGCAGAGCCCTGCACTATGGTGAGAGGAGGCCAGACTCTTGGTGGGCCAAGCAGCTCTCTTCCCTGGGAGTCCTGTACTGCTGGCCAGGAGGACAAGCACAGCCTCACTATGGAGCCTCACATATCCCTTTCAAACATGTTTCTCTTAAAGAAAAAATAAGAGCACAATAAAATACATTCTTTTCCTTTCTTGATCTTCTTTGATACAGGTGAATCACATGAAAGGCTGTTAAAACATTGAAAGTTCAGAAATTCCCAAGGCCACTAATGTGCTATCAGAGTAATACTGCACACTCGGCCTTGGCTTTAGGAAACTTGGCGCTGGTGGATGAGGGCCCGGGGCTCCCTCACTGACTAGGTGCAGAGGATGTGTCTGTCAACCCTGCCACAGGCTGCTCCCCAGAGGCCTCGCCTCTACTTCCAGCATGCTTGTGCACGCACACACAGGAACACACGTGCACACAGGTACACACGTGCACACACACTCACACTGTTTGAGTGATTCTTGGGATTTCAAGGTTGAAGTAAACAGATACTCACAGTTTTGGATAAAACAAGCACGCGCGCGCGCGCACGCACACACACACACACACACACACACACACACACACACACCTGTGGAAGGTACACTTGTCTTTCAGCGCAAATATGTGCCAGGGAAAGAAGGGGAGGGTTTCTGTAGGTCTCGCTTCAGGTGAAGTTGCAACATAAACACTGTAATATACAGCTAAAAAAATACATACAAAGATTGCACATATATCCATAGGGGGGAGCAGAGGCTCCATGCACAGGGACCAGCTCTCGGCCACCCACTCAGCAATCAGAATTCCCTGTGAGCCGTCCTCCAGAGCCATTTGAGAGGGAGTCATAGGAGCAATGTGCTCCTTGCACTGGGCGGTGGTCCCTAGAGAAAAGGTCAGCATTTTGAGGAAGCGGTCAGCAGTCTCATCGAGTGGACCTCTGCCCCTCCCCTGCCTTCGGGCCAGCCCAATAACCAGCCGTCCCTGCCCTCTAAGGAGATCTGAGAGCTCAGCTGACAGCCATTTCATTCAGGGCTGTTGTCTACAGCATCTGGTAGACTAGTTTAACACTGGCTACTGATAGTAGGAAGCTAGTCAATTATTGCTTGGGGGAAAACTATGATTGGGGCACTGCCAGCCCTGGCTGCCAACGCTGACAGCTCAGACAGTAATCAAAGACTGGTGCTTTGCACTCCGTCCCCCTGATGGCCCTGGAGAATTGCACATGCAGGAAAATCATCTCCTTGTGTCCTGCCAGCTATTTATAAGCTCTGAACTGCACTCCACCCTGAGGAGGCACTGGTGACACCACCATGGGTGAGCTCTGTCATGGGCCACAAGTGGCTGAGAAACCCCAACTTCACCGGCCAGTGGGGCTAGAGCAGAGGTGGAGAAGAATCAGGCAGTGTCAGCAGAGGGGAGACTGTTAGAGCCATCCTCCGTGCAGTGCACACTCTTACCAATAACAGAAATGGAAGAGGGCCTAGGACCCAAGGGATGGGCTCTCTCTTTTGCCTTACACTCTCAGCTGGAACAAAGGTCGTAGTCCCCGGTAACCAAAACTGGGCTGATGCTAAGGATGGCACTTCTGCCTGATAAAAGAGGCAGTTATTGATACCTTCAAGAAGACAGAGTCTGTTGTGAGACTTACTGGATGATGGTAGGGGTTGGTTAAATTGTCTATTGCTAGTGAGAATAAATACTTGGTGTTAAAAAGATGGATGATAGTCAGAATTATGGAGAAACTGGACACAGCTCACTGAGTTCATACCAAAGGAGCTGTCTTTCTGAGGAGGTGAGTTTTCAGTTTCTTTACCCGCCTCTGTGGGACTATTGGGGTGGAACTGTTCCAATGGAAGGCAACTGCATGTTCGTACAGCTGAATTTCTGTAAAGTTAAGACAGACTCAGCTTCCCATTTGATTTGGAGCTGTGGAAAGCCTTTCTGAATGGACGGCAGGGACAGAAGGCTTGTCTCTCTCTTCTTTCCTTGAATTCTGTATGAGCACTAGGAAGGGGAAGCATGTGGGTGACACGAAGAAGGTGAAAATGAAGTGAAAGCAGCATCCAGGACACACTAACGGTGTTGGAGGATTTTCACAATACAACTGAGGGAGTCTGTAGTGGCAAAGGCCAAATACTGAGCACAAAGCCAGTCCTCGAGGCTGACTCCACCCTCTCTGTCCAGCGACTTCTCGGCAAACTTGATCATCAGCAGTGTTCGCTTGATGTCTAGCCAGTTTTGGAGAAGGGTGTTCCTCTGCACCAGGCTTGGGCAGGTGGTGAAAGCCTGGAAGAGATCTTCTCGGGGGCCCCAGAGCAGACACTGGAGGATACCTTTGGCGTCTGAAATGAGGATCCGCTCAGAAGGGTTGGGATTCAGGAGGCAGCTGGCCAGCTGCTGCAGGCCTCGGGAGTAGGGGGAGCGGAGTGGGATGCGAGGCAGGTCTGCTCGTGTGTATTCCTTCTCCTTCAGCTCTGGGTTCTCATCAAAGGGGTTGGGCAGGTGCAGCATCTCATAGATGAGGATGCCTGTCTGGAACTCATCACACTTTTTATACTGGGTGGCCGTTATGATCTCTGGAGCGAGGCGGGACTGGTCCCGGAGGATCTCGGGGTCCACCAGATGGCTCTTCTGCTTGGCCTGAGAGAAGTTGCTCACTATAAGCCTGGTAGGACAAGATGAGGTGGGGCTGGGCTGTGCAGGCCCGAGGCACTGGGCAGTTCCCCCGGGCTGGTAGTGGACCAGCAGCAGGTTCTCTAGGCGTAGGTCGCAGTGAGTGACGTGGTAGGGTTTGAGGTGCTCAAGGCCAGAGCACAGCTGTAAAAGCAGCAGGCACACTTGCCTCTCATACAAATCAGGGCTCTTCCCATGCTGGGCCAGAGAGTCGTGCACAAAATCGGCCACGGTGAGACAGGGCACCTCTCTGGTGATGACCACAACGTGGCTCCTCTGCTTCCGGCTCACAACCCCCTGCCTCTCTTTCTGAGAGGACTCTGTTTCAGAGCAGGGCCCTGGGCTTTTCCCATCAGCCTCTCCTTTCAGCTCTTCGGTCTCTTCCACGTTATCCTCTTCCTTTTCAGAGCCATCAGGATCATTCCAGGGAAGCAGACGGTTAGGAACTTCAGCAAGGAAATGACCACAGTCCTGCTGGATGTTAAAATGGACAGCTAGACTCTGCCGGACAGCCAAGCTGTGATAATACTGCTGGGATTCTTTAGCTTTGCTCTTACAGATCTGAAAGAAGAAAGCAAATGACACAATTTAAAACTCACACTTTCATAACCAGGCTTGTGATATATAAAGGGGGATTAAACTGGAAGATGACTGGCTAGGAACAACCAGGGTTACAGCAAAGTCTTCAGAAAAGGTCTTGGTAGCTCGGTGCTGACTGTCAGTAGTAATGGTAGTAACCATTTCTAGAGTCGTCTATGTGCCAGGCTGTGCTTAGCATTTTAACCAGAATGGAAAGAGGCTTCATTTTTACCCCCATTGCCGTGGAGTCGATTCTGATCCATGGCGACCCCAAGTGTTTCAGAGTTGAATGGAGCTCCATGGGGTTTTCAAGGCTGTGATATTTATGGAAGCATGCTGCCAGGTCCTTCTTCCATGGTGTCACTGGGTGGGCTTGAACCACCAACCTTTCAGTTAGTAGTCGAACGCAAACGGTTTGCACCACCCAGAGACCCTTGTGCTTAGCATTTTATGTGTATCATCTTGAGTCCTCACACTAACTCTTCAAAGTAGGCTGATGATCCCAGAATTAAAAACAAACAAACAAAAAGCCCAGGGCTACCAGTTTTCAAGCCAGTTTGTCTAGTGCCAACACTTGCTCTTTTTGCTATACCCTGTACCAAATCTAGAAAACAGAACAACAAAATAATTGTTCACCTACTTTCTGTGGAGGTTTACAGTGCAGACTTACCCAGCAGCCCAATAAATGGCTCATAAAGAAGGCCCAAAGTGTCTTATTCTATCACTCTTCATATTAACTTCTCATTTCAGCAGAGTGACATATAGTAACTGGGCAGGTAAAGTATGGGTTTTCCTAACTTTTAATGAAACGTCATTTGATGACTGCAAATCAGGGCGGGGTAGGGATAAAGGGCTGAGAGAATCACTGTTCTGACCTAGTCAGAGCAAGAACAACACTTCAATGGCAAAGTTTTGCGTTTTATGCTTTCCCTCAACAGGCCTCATTTAAGATCCAATATTCAGGTACTACAGGGTCGCTACGAGTCAGAATCAACTCGACGGCAACGGGTTTGGGTTTTTGTTTTTAATTCAGGTAATAAGGTCTTTCAAAAAGAATTTTATTAAGTAGCTTAGAAAAGGAAAAAATAAATAAAATCACCCCCAAACTGATTATCCTCATGATGTAGACAAGCTGACAATGGATGACTCAGTCTCTACTGCTAGTCCACAGATCATAACAGCCTGGTCAGGACATCCCACCACAACCCTGCCACCTGAGGGATGCACTCTCTCCTGCTCCTCAGCCGGGGCATGCCACCATATTTCAGAGATATCAGAGCCTCCCAGCGACAGGCACTCTCTGTAGTGTCTACATTGCCTGTTAATTATAGCAATACAGAAAATAAGCAAATTTTAAGAGAATTTTCCAGTCATTTTTTTATTTAAAAAGAAAAATTATCATTTTCGTAGGAGGATGTTGATGGGTCCCCAGTTCTGAGAAGTAGCATGCTGATTACCATTAAAGTAGACTTAAAAAAAAAAAAAAGACCATTTACTGATTTATACATATTTATTATAGTCAAGGAAACCCTGGTGGCATAGTGGTTAAGAGCCACAGCTGCTAACCAAAAGGTTGGCAGTTTAAATCCACCAGACACTCCTTGGAAACACTATGGGGCAGTGCTACTCTGTCCTATAGGGTCACTATGAGTCGGAATTGACTTGGCGGCAACAGGTTTGGTTTTTTCGGTTTATTACAGTCAGAGAGACTTGATACCAGTGATCATTGCCATAGAAATATGTGTGTGTGTCACATACATATACGTGTGACTGTTATGTATATACGCACCCACACACACATATATGCGTACATTTATAGAGACATACCCACACACACAGAGACAAAGAGATCAAGAGATCTCAAAACAAGTTTCTTCAGGTCTTCTACCACCTACCTAAATGAGTTTGAGGGTACTGTAAGCATTTCTTCTTTAAGCAAACTTCTAGTCATAAAACATAAATGTCCCCAGGCTGAGTTCAAGTTCAAATGTATATCTTTCAGGAAATGTTATCTCTGAAAGCTCTCAAAGTTTCAGCATATGCAGTGTAATATATAATCCTATATGCTCATCAATCACAACATGAATTCTTTCGGTACTGTACTGTGGACGATATTTCATATTTATGTGTCACAGGTATTTAAAAATCCTATATTAGTCATCATTTAGTTGTACAAGAGTTGGATCCAGTACATGGAACCATTAACACCATTTGCCAGTTCTAATAATTTGCCCAACATCACACACTGCCTGCTGGAGTGAAAGTTCAAAGGTCCCAACTCCTCAGTCTTTGAAAAGTCAATCAGACACCACTGAGTTTAGCTGAATGAGACTATATAAACTCCAGCTGTCACATTATAGAAAGGACACTCACCAAGGGCTTAGGAGGTCAGGGTTTCCACCAGGGCCCTTCCTCTAGCTGTATAACCTTGGGCATTTCACTTACTTTCTCTGGGTCTCAGTTGCCTTAAGAAAGGAGACAGTACTATAAAGAATACAGAAACCTACTTCACAGGGCAGCTGTGAAGATTATATGATATCAAGTACGTAGACTACACCTATAAACTACAAAGCTGTAAAAATATAACACCGAAAACAACTAAAACAATTTACAAGTTGCAAATATTGAAAGTGATACAATCTTACAGAATCCTCATATTTTTTGAATGAAGAGAGCAAGACAGAAAAACACATCTTTCTTTTGAATCCTGAAAGTCACCTGTCACAGCAGCGAGGCTCTCTGATCACAGATTAGGTAGACAGCAGCTAAAAAGGGGCTGCTGAAGTTCCACATCCCCATGCCAGGGCCAGCCTGGACAAATGAGTCAAGACTAGCAGTATGTTCTGATTCAAGACAGGATAACCTAAGGCTAGGAGAGAGAAAATTGCTTGGCTAAGTCTGTAGTTTTCACTATTCCAAGTTGCACTGAAAACAACAACAACAACAGCTTGCCACTCTGTAGTTTAAGATTAGAAGCAGAGAAAGATATTCTAATTGTGACTACTATTCTAATTGTGATATTTGAATTGTGTCTAGACACACACACACACACACACACACACACACACAGTAAAAAGGTTCCCCACAGCTTTGTGAGTAGATAAGAACATGGATACTACAAAGAGAATTTATGTTCAGCTTCACAGATCAACCTGAGATAAAGGTTCCGAGTGATTTACGAAGAAGAAATGATAAATTGTTCGGCCATTTTGGATGCTCTGAAAGAAAATGGTCTGCCTAGATAGCCAACCTGAGTGGCTGGCACTTCCTCATCTCTTCATCTTACAATACTTAGACAGGCTGAAGAATAATGGGTCACTCTAGTTTTAAGGGCACAGGCAAAAGGGGGAAGATTGGAGTGACAAAGAGGGGGAAAATACTAGGGCTTTTAATTGGTTCACAACCATAAGAACAGGTACAAGCAATACAGCGACCTATGGAGATTTCCATAATAGGATTTCTCATATGACAAGTATCTCATAAATCTTTATTATGGAGCCTGTGATGATGTTAATTTAGGTAGGAGTATTATATTATTCTATGTACCACATAGTAGCCATTTTTCAAATATTAATAACTTGACTCCTTTAGTTTTTAAAAATACTCAAAATGACCTGACTTCAGATGATAAATTTCTAGTCCAAAAGTTATTTCAGAAAACAAGCCACTCTTTCCAGAACAAATGGACTGGGTTTTACTTGCTGGTCCCCTCGTACCCCACCCCAACCCCAGCCCCTTCTACTCTTACCCAGTATTTTCTCTACCAGGGATCAAAGTAACTTCTTCTTGGCCTCCCATTTTCATTTATCTTTCTTGAAAGGAATTCACATTCCTTCCTTATGAAAGGGTAGCTGGCTTGAAATGGAGGAATCTCAAGAAAGATTCCAAGAAGAATGATTTCCACAGGACTCTCAGGCACTCCAAAAATTTGAAATAAGAACAACTGTGGAGCTGGAATGGTCCCGTATCTTCATTTAAGACTCCCTTTTCTGATGGGAGAAAAATCACCTCATATTTGTTTTGACTATGTATGGGAAAACCTGCTTAAAGTGCTGCCAATTTTGGCAGATTCTGTGATGTCTACATTTTCCAAATGGCAAGAAAAACCCGACCAGAGCCTCAGCCACAGCGACGCTAGAGGGAGCTACACTATCAGTATCCAGGAGTCATTTACACGTAAACCATGCAGCAAGAGAACAAAACCAGTGTGGTGAAGGTTGAATCTTCCTGTAAATACACCATAGGGCCTCTTTCTGGACGAGATTTCAGTTCTGTGAAGGCGACAATGCCAAATCCATGCAAAGGGAATGCTTTGTGTGAAGAGCACAAGCAGGAAGTGAAGCCCAGGGCTTGCCTGCTCATCAAGCCCACATCCGCCTCTTTGCCTAAGCCACTTCTCCACAGGAAGCCAGAGGAACACCAAAAGAGACAGCCAGCCAGCTGGTGGGCACACACCCACACTTAAGTCAATGTGCACAATGCACTGCAGGAGAAACAGAAGCTTGAGGGGAAACTGGGTGCTCCTCTGGGCTAATAAAGATCAGTGAGCGCAGACAAGTGGAAGGAGAAATATCGATTCCTGTCAAATGAGCACTGAAACAAGTATCTGCTGGATCCTCAGCACTTCCCATCTGTAAGGCATGGCAACCTGAAGCACTGTGGCCAGATCCCCAAATACAGGGGGTGGTGACCCCATAACCACCGACAAATCAACTGTTGGAAAAATGGAAAATGAAAAATATGCTTCTAGGATCAGAGCCAAATAACCCTCTCTTGAGACCTTTTCAGACCCAGGTCAAAGTTCACAACGCTCACACAAGCTGGATCTCAGCAGAGGAACAGAGCTTGACAATGGTTTCTCATGTACAGACTGAAAAGTTTAATTCCAAACATTCATTTTAGCTTAGGGGCTCTTTTTCTGTGTTGCTCATGGAAACTGCCTGCATACCTTTGAGGAAAATTTGCCATTATAAAGCATTTAC